CTTTAAGTTGATTTTTTTAAATTTAAGCTTTGTTTACTAGTATAGGGAAGACACGAGTATATAGTAAGTTTGGGTACAGTTGGTATCTTAATTGGATTTGTGAGTTTCTTTGTTAGGAAGGTGTTGGTAATGTTTTCTAATAAGTGTTGTGGATAGCAGTTACGTTTCAGGATATCATGTAAGAACGAAATTTCAGAGTGTAGATTAAGATATGTGGAGCACAGGTTGTAAGCTCTGTTTAGTAAACATGTAACAAGGTTTCGTTTATACGTAAACGGGATAAAGCTATCAAAGTGTGTAAGGAGACCAGTGGACGTCTTTTTTCGGTAAATTGATGTGGAAAATCCATTAGCATTATAGTTAATGAGCATGTCTAAAAAAGGTAAATAATTATTATTTTCAACCTCACATGTAAATGTAATGGCAGGATGTTGTGAGTTAAGGTATTCTAAAAATTTTGAGCATTGATCACTGTTATTAAAAAGAATAAAAGTGTCATCTACATACCTTCTGTACAGAACAGGCCTAAAGTTAACTGGACAAGTGTCAAGCCATTTCTGTTCGTAATGAGAGAGAAATGCATTAGCTAAAGTTGGACCTAGTGGGGAGCCCATCGCAACGCCATCTATTTCTTCATACAAGGTGTTGTTGAACAGGAAATGTGAATTCTTAGTGGTAAGATCCATCATGGTCTTAATTTGATTTTTAGAAAAGCCATTTAGAGGAATGTTATTACGCGAAATCTCAGATATGCATATGTTAATAGTTTCATTTAAGGGAATATTTGTAAAGAAGGAGGTAACATCAAAGCTCGCCATGAAGAGATTATTTGAGGGGGGTAGTTGACTTAGTTCACGTTCAAAGTGGAAGGAATCCGGGATAGTATATTCATTGGTAGTGAGTGGCTGAAGTATAGGTACAAGGAATTTAGCAAGTTTGTAACTAGGTGTGCCTATAGTGGATAGAATGGGTCGGAGGGAGGAACCTGTTTTATGAATTTTGGGAAAGCCATATAACATACCAGGACGAGAACCAGTAGGATAAAGCGAAAAAGCAACATTTTCAGATATAATATTTTTGTTCTTTAGTTCTCTTAGGGTGCCTTTGGATTTTTCCTCACGTTGGATGCTAACAGATAAGAGGTCATTGTTTAAGGTTTTAAATTTTGTAGAATCGTCCAGAATATCATGTATTTTTATTAAGGTAGTCATTTTTGTTCAGAATAAAATTACGAACAGAAATGACTTGACACCTGTCCAGTTCACTTTAGGTCTGTTCTGTACAGAAGATCCTGAAGATGGAATCTGATAGAATTCCGAAACTTTTATTTATGTCCCCTTTTTGTCAATAAACAATGTTGTATATTG